GGCAGCTCGCTTCGGGCGGTGTCGTGGCCGGGGTTTTCTTTCCTGGTGTGGTTAGCCCTCGCACGCAGCCCGCTGGCCGCGCGCTGGCCGCGCCTGGTGGTCTCTTCGCCGCTTCAGCTGGAATCGCGAAGCGCGCCGTTCTGGCACCTGCGGATGACAACTTCCGAGCCTTCCTCTCCCGTTTCCGCGCACGTTGTTCTTTCTGCGCGGGGTCCGGGAGTCCCCGAGACGAGTGTTGCCAGAGCCAACTCTGTCTTGCTGGTAGTTTTGCCGGAGTGTGCTCGCGGTGCTCCCTATGTGGCCGCATCCCTCTGTTCCCGGTGGCTTGGAAGGTTCACTGTCTGGCCGGCGCCCCGCGCCTGTTGACGGCGCTGTCGCCTCGTCCGGGGTCTGCTTTCCGTCTCCCGCGACCGTTTCGTGCCTTTTCCTCCCCAGCTTCCCGTCCCTCCGTTCTCCCCGCTCGCTCCTGCCGGTGGTGGCCGCGACCGGTGACCCTTTCCGGTCGAAAGCCGCTTCTCTTCTGGGCTCCCAGGCATGCCCTTCCTTCGCCTCCGCGGAGTCAAATGGAGACGCCTCGCGTCGGAACTGGCGGATGCGCTCTGGGAGCTGTGGTCTCGAGACAGAGGCAGGCATCCAGTCTCCCTGTGCTCGCATTTCGCTCCGCTGCCCTTCGCAGCCGCCCTTTTAAAGCGGCCAGACTCGTTGAGCCGACACACGTGGGGTCTGTTTTCTCACTCCCACTGACTCCCCGCCGCCGCCACCCAGCTTCCAGTCTGCTTGAACTGCTCCCGTCAGGGCCGCCGGCTGCTGAAGCCAACAGGCAGGCCTGCGTCCTCTCCAAGCTCCTCAAAAGTGTTGGACCCAGTGGGCCACTTATCTTGCTCTCGGTTCCACCAGCTTCCGTGGCACCCCGCACTCTGGCAGCTCCTGCTTGGTGTGCTTTGTGGTCTGTGCTGCCTCTCTCCAGACCCTCATTGTCAGGCTCCCTTGGCGTCCTCTTCCTCCCCCCACCCAGGTGGTCTTAGCCACCCCTGTGACTTTAAGTGCTACTTATACATGGACAGCTCTCAAATTTATGTCTTCCCAGATCTTTCCTCTGACCCCAGGCACCTGTATCTAACTTCCTTTCTACGCGAATATTCTTGGTTATGTAAAACTTACACCCGAAACTGAACTTTATTTATTTATTTATTTTGAGACAGGGTATTGCTATGTTGCCCAGCTGGTCTCAGACTCCTGGGCTCTAGTGATTCTCCCGCCTCAGCCTTCCAGAATGCCGGAATTACAGGCAAGAACCACTCACCCTGCCAAAACCAAACTACTGATTTCTTTCCCCCAGTCTCTTCACCCCCCAGCACAACTACCCACCCAGTTTTTTAAGCCTGACTTGGGAGACGTTCTTTTTTTGCCCCATCTCCAATCCAAATGCAAGTCCAAGCAATTCCATCTCCAAACTGCATCCCTAATCACCCTGCTTGTTGCCATCTCCGCTCCCACCAGCCTCACTCAAGCCGACGCACCTCAAGAGCACCCGCACAAGCCCCCACCAGCCACCTTCATACCTTTCCATCTGGATGACCTTTCACATCTCTGTCCTGCTTGAAACTGTCTCTTGGCATCCCATTACTTGGGAGTAAACATTTTAAGATCCAACTGTCGAATTGTTAGTCCTAACTCTCTTCCGTGATCTCTGATTGGTTACTTTTCATAGCCGCTTTTTTTTGGGTCATGGATTTCATATTTCGTACCTTTCTGAGATTATTTTTCATATTTTTTTTTTTTCTGAGTCATGGTCTCACTCTGTCACCCAGGCTGCAGTGCAGTGTCCCGCTCGTGGCTCACTGCAGCCTCAACCTCATGGGCTCAGACGATCCTCCCATCTCAGCCTCTCAAATGTCTGGGACCTCAGGCATGCATCACTATGCCCAGCTGATTTTTAATTTTGTGTAGAGAAGAAATCTCACTTTGCTGCCCAGGCTGGTCTCAAACTCTGGGCTCAAGCAATTCTCCTGCTTCAGCCTCCCAAGGTGCTAGAATTACAGGCGTGAGCCACCACGCTCAGCCGTTATCCATATTTCTCTCAGAATTTTCATTTCTCTGTTAGTTCAGTTTCCGCTGGTATCGGATGTTAGTTGACTTTGGTTCCCCTTTCATGGTGTTGGTCCTAAGTTGTGTGATCTTTATTTGTGTTTATATTTTCTGTGCTGTGATGTCTGTTATTGAAGTCCACCTCCAGTGACTGGGTGGCTACCTGGTGGTTGGGAGGGAGGTGTACGCAGCTGGTCTCCCGGGTGGGTCTTCCTCTTTCTCTCGAGTTCACTAGTCTGCTAGACACTGCCCTGTTTCTTTGGTCCATGTGCCTCATGCAGGGTAGTCTGCTGGCCGCTGCCTTGCACACCCATCTCTGACTTGCCTCACCTCCCCCAGGCTTCTCTTAGGGCTCTTCTAACACTTTGTACTTAGTTCTCTGGATTAAATGCTACTATTGAACTTCTGGGTATGGATTCTCTTTTCTTTTTCTTTTTTTTTTTTTGAGTTGGAGTCTCACTCTGTCGCCCAGACTGGAGTGCAGTGGCAGCTCCCGGCCACCGCAGCCTCAGCCTTCCAAGTAGCTGGACCTACAGGTGCACACTACCACGCCCGGCTAATTTTTTATTTATTGTAGAGATGAGGTCTCACCAAGTTGCCCGGGCGGGTCGTGAACCCGCGGGCTCAGGCAATCCACTCACCTCAGCCTCCCAAAGGCACGGGATTACAGGCTGAGCCACCGATCTTTTCTTGACTGGACCTTGAATACTATTTCTGAAGCTAATGTTATCCTTCAAAATGTTATTTTGTGTTTCTTTGAATCTATGTCATTTGTCGGAAATGTTATTTTTGTATGTGTTTTTTAAAAATTTCAAAAATTCAGTTTATCAGAGCTTCATTCATTTTTATTGGTCCTTGGTTGTAATGATCAAGCAACTGTACTTTTTTTGTTTAACTTTCATTTTCACTATTTTAGTATCTTTAACATTCCTTTTGTTCTATCTTGTTTTGGTGTATTATTTATTTATTTTTGGATTAAATGCTACTATTGAACTTCTGGGTATGGATTCTCTTTTCTTTTTCTTTTTTTTTTTTTTGAGTTGGAGTCTCACTCTGTCGTCCAGACTAGAGTGCAGTTGCCGCTCCCAGCCACCGCAGCCTCGACCTGCTGGGCTCCACGATCCTTCCGCCTCAGCCTTTCAAGTAGCTGGAACTATAGGCGCGCGCTAGTTTTTGATTTATTGTAGAGATGAGGTCTTGCCAAGTTACCCGGGCGGGTCTCCAACCCGCAGGCTCAGCCAGTCCACTCACCTCGGCCTCCCAAAGCGCTTGGGATTACGGGCTGAGCTACCGAGCCTGGCTTCAACTATCTTTTAATGTTCTTTTTTTCTAATAGGTATATTTTAAGAAATGTGCTTTCCTCTAGTACTATTTTGGCTTTATCTCATAAGTTTTGGATGTGGACTTTTTATTGTTATTTTTAATGTCTAATTCCTTTTTTTTGAGTTGGAGCCTCACTTTGTTACCCAGGCTGGAGTGCAGTGGCACACTCATGGCCACCCCAGCATCAACCTCCTGGGCTCCGGCGATCCTTTCACCTCAACCTGCCAAGAAACCAGAGCCAGCTAATTTTTGATTTGCTGTGGAGACAAGATCTTACCATTTTGCCCAGACTGGTCTCGAACCCATGGGCTCAGGAAATCCACTCACCTCAGCCTCCCAAAGTGCTGGGATTACAGGCTGAGCGGACCAAGCCCGGCCAATAGTCTAATTTCAATTAAGTTTTCTCTTCAACACAGGGTTAGTTAGAAGAAATTTTCTTTGTATTAGTGTGTTTTAAATTTCTGATTAGATAACCTGGCTTTTTTGAGTTCTACTTTGGGGAATGTTTTAAAGATTCTTTTTTTGTTTTTGGAACCAGGATTTGAGCCAAAGCTCTAACTCCACAGCCTAAGTGCCTGACGCCACTGAGTTAGGCCACACCTGGGGTCCCAACTTGGCCAGTAATGAGCTCTGGCCAACCGTCTTCATCTCTCTGGACCTCGGGATAACCAAGACAAGGATATTGTACTACCTAATCTCTCACATTCCTTCCAGCTGTAAGGGATGAAAAGGTCTAAAATAAGATATCTGAATTTCCAGTTTGGTGGGAAATACATAAGAGATGTCCAAAGTCCTGCAGGGCCCAGGGGAGGTCGGTGACCCATCTGACTGGAAAGCATCAGGCTTCAGGAAAGGCTTTGTGGAAGAGTCAGCATTTAAAATTAGCCTCAAAGGGTCACCCATTTATTCATTTGACAAATATTTATTTAGTACCTATCTATTGTTTTCTAGTTGCTGAAAATAACAGCAAGATAACAGTGAATAAAATAGAGGGAAAAAAATCTCTGCTCTGTGATTTGACAACTGTGTGACTCAGCCAGGCTGCGAGGGACCACCTTTTTTCCACTGTACTTTCCCTTCATGGCCCAAATCTTTGTGCAGGCACTTCCCCCCGTCAGCGTGGTCGGCGGAAACTTGCTTGGATAAAGGAGATCCGAAATCTTCAGAAAAGCACACATCTCTTGTTACGGAAGGCCCCCTTCAGCCGCCTGGTGAGCTCCAGGGAGCTTCCCACCAACCCCTAGGCCTCCCTCCTTTCTCTGTGTTTCCCAGGCATTAGAGACCCTACTGACTCTTACCAACATGGCTGAGGGACCTCTTGTCTAACCTAGTAGAGGTCTCTTCATCTTCTGAAAATGTCAACCCTCGAAAGGCACCTTGTAATTCTTTATGGCATTAATTTCTAACCCTACTACCTTTACAGCTGCATTTTTTTGTTTTGTTTTGGTTTGGGTTTTTTGAGTTGGAGTCTCACTCTGTCGCCCAGACTGGAGTGCAGTGGCTGCTCCCGGCCACCGTAGCCTCGACCTGCTGGGCTCTGGCGATCCTTCCACCTCAGTCTTCCAAGTAGCTGGAACTATAGCCGCGTGCTACCACACCCGGCTAATTTTTTGATTTATTGTAGAGATGAGGTCTCGTTTGCCCGGGCTCAGGCAATCCACTCATCTCAGCCTCCCAAAGTGCGGGATTACAGACTGAGCCACCGAGCCCGGCTCCAGCTAGTTTTTTTATTTATTGTAGAGGTCTTGCCAAGTTGCCCAGGCAGGTCTCAAACCTGCGGGCTCAGGCAATCCACTCACCTCAGCCTCCCAAGGCGCGGGATTACAGGCTGAGCCACCGAGCCCGGCTTTACAGCTGCATTTTTTGACTGTACAGATAGGGACCCTCTTATTCATCCAACTTCGATTCCTTTTCCTACCCTGGGAGAGTGTTCCTCATCTCCGCACCACCAATAATAGCCATGCCTGTTCCTAAGCTCCCAGGAGTCAACACCCACTCCTAATTAGTTCCTGAGATTAAGGGCCAGGAAGGAATAATAGAAATGAAGCTTCACTGGGATTCACGGAGAGCATCACTTCTCTGAATCTCTCTTTCATTACCTCTACCCTCCTTTCTATCTCCCTTTCTTCTCAGGTAAGAGAAATATGTGTTAAATTCACTCGTGGTGTGGACTTCAATTGGCAATCCCAGGCCCTGTTGGCCCTACAAGAGGTAAGAAGGGGCCAAGGTGCAACTTGGCAAGGGCTGAGTGTGGGAGAAAGAGGCAATCTGGAATTCTCTGTGACTGACTGAAGTGTCCCATGCTGAATCTGGCCTCTTGAAAAAGAGCGACAAGGTGACACCTGAGAGTTTTGAAGATGGATTCCATGTGGTGGTTGTCTCATTCTGTGAGTGACCTTCTCTACAGCCTTCGAGCTCTCAGAGATTAAGTTTAATAGGAGTTCAGGACAAAGCAGCCCATGTCCTTTGTGTCAATCTTTCTCTTTCGGTTCCCAGGCAGCAGAAGCATTTCTGGTCCATCTCTTTGAGGATGCCTATCTCCTCTCCCTACATGCCGGCCGAGTTACTCTTTTCCCTAAGGATGTGCAGCTGGCCAGGAGAATCCGAGGCATTCAGGAGGGACTTGGCTGAACACGTGCAACCAGTGTTTCTGGAAGTCTTTCCTGCTCACCCAGTGTAAGCACACCTTGGGGAGAAAGCACCCAGCTTCTCATCACTGGGAGTGGAATTTTCTGAAGGAATCGCCCTCCATCCTTGGTCTCTTGCTGTCTTTCCTTCCCCTTGTTCTCTAGTAAAGATTCAGCCCAGTGTTAACTAGAGTGCTTAGGACTGTGAGGCTCATGCCCTTTTGTGCAAGGTTAGATGTTTTTTATTAAGTGATAACCTGCATTTTGGATAGAGCTAAGCCTCTGCCTTTCATAAGGACTGGAAGATCTCATTCTGATGAAGAGAAAGTGTTCTTTTGGAAGTGCCTTGTTAGTAAATGTGATTCCTACATTTCAGGGTTGTTACCAGGGACACTCCAGAGCCATGACTGCAAGCAGTGGAGTCTAAGTTGCTGCCTGGACTTTGCTCTGAGCACTGTGTGTATGCTGCTTTGCATAACACATGAGACAATTGACACAGTTCCAAAGGCCTGAAAAGTATTTTCATATAGAGACTCCAAGGCTGACTTCAGTTGTGAGTTACTCTTGTGACTATTTGAGGATTTGAAGACAGAAAATGTGCTGTGGTGTGGGAGACAAGGATATTTGCTTATTATTTTAGATTTTTTTATCCTATTGAGATTTTCTTGCCATGTGTACACTTGTACCTTTGTTTTAAACTTAAGGGGAGGCAGAAGAGAAGACCACTTGAATCAGCTGCACGGAAGACCCCGCACAAGCAGCAGCCAGACCTCTGCCCTCATTGCTGTGGCAGCGGCAAGTGACTGGGTGGTCTATGCTTGTCAACAGATGTACAGCTTTTTAAAAACGTAATTGAGGGTGAATAGAAAATATTTAAGGTTTGATGTCCTGGATCTTTCTAGTAAATTTCTATCAGAGTCATTTGGAACTTCTAACTTGTGGAATTTAACATTATGTTCTTATTTGTAAATCATAGAAGATATATCAGTCTGGGATTTTAAAATACTTTTTCAGTGTTTCTCAGGTATTTTATAACTTCATATGGAGAGATAGTGAAGATAATCATAATTATTTAATCAAAAAATTAAACCAAGGTTACTGCTACAGCATAGAGGTTATACTATATTTTCTGTATGTTAACATTAAGTTCTTTATTTGTACACTGTTTACAAACAGCCACAATTTAAACAAGAGAATTGAGGGATGTAGTTTTTCCTCAGATACAGTAGATATGAGCCGTTAAAAACTGCCCTTCTGTTGTAACTAAAAGCAATTTAAAAGATTACCAGAGAAATGAGAAGTACTACCCAAAGATTTGAGATCTGTATGTGGTGAAAATGATTGGTGAGAGCAGACTATTAATAATGATGTGTCTGTCAGCCAGCTGACCTCAGAGACAATCTAAAGGGAAGCACCAGGTTCTATTGTTTAATACATCCTAAGCCTTTGGAAAACCTCTTCCTGTTTGTCATCAACTTATATTTATGCAGGTATTCAAATAAAGCTTATCTATCCGCAAATATATTTAATGTTCTTGTCAAAGCATCATTAATTAGAAGAGTATCATCTTCCTCTGGCTTTCTTTAAATTGACACTCCTCTGCTCTCTTGAAATTGTACTAACTAGCTGGGTGCAGTGACTCACGCCTATATAATCCCAACATATTTGGAGGCCGAGATGAGAGGATCGCCTGAGCCCATGGGTTAAAGACCAGCCCAGGCAACTTGGTGAAACCTCATCTCTACAATAAAACAAAAAAATTAGCTGGGCATGGTGGCGCACATCTGTGGTTCCAGCTACTTGGAAGACTGGGGCAGAAGGATTGCCTGAGCCCAGCAGATTGAGGCTGAGGAAGACTGGGGCAGAAGGATTGCCTGAGCCCAGCAGATTGAGGCTGAGGTGGCTGTGAGTGTGCCACTGCACTCCACCCTGGGCCACAGAGTGAGACTTCAACTCTAAAAAAAAAAATGTACTAACCAGGCCAGGCACAGTGGCTCAAGCCTATAATCCTAGCACTTTGGGAGGCTGGGGCGAGAGGATTGCCTGAGTCCAGGGGTTGAGACCAGCCTGGGCAACTTGGTAAGACCTCATCTTAACAATAAATAAAAAAATTAGCTGGACGTGATGACATACACCTGTAGTTCCAACTACTTGGAAGGCTGAGACAGAAGGATCAACTGAGCCCAGCAGATTGAGGCTGAGGTGGCAGTGAGTGTGCCACTGCACTCCAGCCTGGGCCACAGAGTGAGACGCCGACTCAAAAAAAAGAAAAGAAATTGTGCTAACCAGTACATCACTGCAATACGCACACATCAATACTCAGATGTCAGGCTGGGTGTGTGCTCTCAGCACTACATAGTATTTGCATGATAACATGAGAACAAGTAATTTACATTATGATAATGTTATATAATATTACAATTTGCTGTAAATTTTGAGCCCTTATGATATTGGGTTTTTGTTTTATTTATTTTTAAACTTTATTATCTTTTTTTATTAATGAGGTTTTGCTCTGTGGCCCAGGCTGTGGAGTACAGTGGTGTGATCATGCCTCACTGTAGCCTTAAACTCCTGAGTTCAAGTGATCCTCCTGCCTTTGCCTCCTGAGTAGCTAGGACAACACCACCATGCCTTTATTTTATTTCTTAATTTTGTTTTTCTCTGCTTTCAAGGTGTGCATCAACATTCTCTTCTAACCTTTCCATTGAATTTTTTGTTTCGCCTTCACATTGTTAATACCTAGGAACGTCTTATTTTTTTTTAAAATTTAATAGTATTCCATCAGTCAGTGTTCACTAAAACCAAACAGAAACAACTCTAGATATTGCAAGCAAAGAGGGACTCGGTGGAAGGGATTGGCTGTAGCAATATTGGGAGGGCTAGGAGAGCAAAAGGGAAGAGAGTTGCTGCCTGAAGATCAGGGAGCTGCCTGTGCCTGTTGCCCACCCCCACTGCTGCTGGCTGAAACACAGTCCCTGCCACTGTGTGTTAAACTGTTGGCTGGGTGCAGTGGTTCAAGCCTGTCATCCCAGCACCTTGGGAGGTGGAGGAGAGAGGATTACCTGGGCTCGGGATCGAGACCAGCCTGAGCAACAGGTGAGACCTTGTCTCTACAATAAATAAAATCAGTCCGGCATGGTGGTGCATGCCTGTGGTTCCAGCTCCTTGGAAGGCTGAGGTGGAAGGATCATCTGAGCCCAGCCGATCAAGGATGCAGTGGCCATGAGCGTGCCGTTGCACTCTAGCCTAGGCGACAGAGTGAGACTCTGACTCAAGAAAACACAAAATACCTTACTGTTGCTGCTGAGCGGGACGTCAGAAGCCCCTGCACAGACCAGCGTCACTGAAACTACTGCTGTCACTGCTGCTTCTACTGCCAATGCAGGAAAGAAAAGTCTTTTTTTCCTGCCACCTTCCAGGCCCCACCAGCATCTCCACGGGCAGAAGCAGCTGGAACGTAATTGGCCATCTGACCCTCCTGTGTTACAGAGAACTTAAAAAGGTGGGAATGGAACTTGGAGCCAATAGGGTCAATAAACAACACAATCTTGTTTTATACCATTTTAAGGATGTATAGTTTTTTGTTAGGGGTTTTTGTTTTGCTGCATATGCTGTGTTTTCTCCAAGCTTTTTTATCCCCCGTTTGTTCTGGTCTCTTATCGCTGAGATTTTCCTTTGATGTTTAACAATTTTTATGTTTAAGAGTGGGGGCAAAAAAGCCAATTGGAATTCCAGTTTTGAGCATGTTGGTGGAACTTGGTGACTTTGTGCTTTACTGCAGAATACTCTTGTGGGCCTTTTGTTGAGGATCCCCCATCCTCTTAGGCTAATCAAATGCCCAGGAGTCATCTAATCACCCGCTTGGAGGAACTTGGTTCTAGAAGCTGAGCAGAGGAGAGCTGAAGATACCCATATTCAAACTTCACTATGCATCAGCTTTCTTTTTCTATTTTTTCGAGTTGGAGTCTCATTCTGTCTCCTAGGCTGAAGTGTGCAGTGGCACGCTCATGGCCACCCCACCATCCATCTGCTGGGCTCTGGCGATCCTTTCACCTCAGCCTTCCAAGTAGCTGGAACTGCAGGAGCACGCTACCATGCCTAGCCAATTTTTTGATTTATTGGTCTTGCCAAGTTGCCCAGGCTGGTCTCGAATCTCTGGGCTCAGGCAATCCTCTCACCTCGGCCTACATCAGCCTTCTTAATTTCCCTGGCTTTGGCCTCCTCAAATCCAGAGAACCTCTATCATATCTTTTCTTGAGAATAAAAGCAGTCATCCAGTGATTAGTAGGAGAGATTCATCTAGGGAATATTGCTTCCTGAAAAGCTTGTAACCAATCCTCTATTTTAGCCAACACTCATTCA